TCAAGCACAAAACTGATCTACTTTTAGTGATTTTAAAATGAACCCACTATGCTGCATTATTTAAAATGCCAGAGAATAGACAATTCTACTTAGCAGCATCCTTTTATTAAAGTTTTTACTTCTCTCCCAAATTAAATATTCCTTAATCCCCACCATTACACTGTAAAGCCAACATCTCAGGCAGAAGTCTTAAGCTTCCTTTATTTAGGAGATAATTAGCACTAAGGCCTGCAGCACTATCTACCTCACACCAGGACTTCCCACCTTTCAGATCTGGATACTATCACATCCAAAACTACTGTATGTATTTTAGACACGGGAAGCATGACGGGGGACATGGTACTCATGTAGGTTTTCAATTAACTTTTTACCAGCTGTTCTAAGAGAGATAACACCTAACCCCGTGCTAAGTCTGCCAGAACTGCTTTCAGAGAAGTTCCAATGAGTTTGAAACAGCAGTCGGCTTGCAGATGTTCCGGGTTACAGCTCAGATGGTCACAGCATTTTAATTATCTTATTTCTTTAAAATCTGACAGCAACATCTCAAAAGCGAGGCTTACTGATTTGTGAAGCAGAGCATAAGCCAACTATCTTCTGCTCTAACTCTTCAGCAGTGCACTTCACTCAACAACCAACTCCAGTCAAGGGATTTTTTTTTTCCAAAACCAAAGTAGGTCAAGCAGCAAACCCACTAAAGTTATCAATTTAAAAGGCATAGTTTGCAACATTAACAAAGTAAACATGCTTCATTCCAACACTATTGCAACATAATGGACATTTCAGCATTTTGTGTGGAAGATAATCACTTGAAGACAAGCAATAACTATGAGAAAACCCAAACTGTCTACGTTTAGTACTACGTAAAGCAAGTCTGTGGTCACAATACAGTCACAAGAGCCAAATGAACAGACAGTGCAAACAGGCTTCCTTCTCGTATGCCAAAAGAAGTAAACGTTTCAAAGTTCAGGTTACTGGTGATTGGCAGATCAAACAAATATCTGTATTAGAGCTACCTTGTGAGAACACTGTGACTTAAAGCCTGAATTCCACGACAGTCAAAAAATCACAAACCAAGCCACAGGTTTACCAAAAGTACTATGAAATGCTTCCACAAAACAGTTAACAAATATTCTGATACCAATTTAAAACATCACACTAACACCAAACACTTTTCAAAACTTCTTGGACCATAAGCATACAGCTATAGTGTTCGTTTTGCAATGCAACCACCTTCAGAAATAAGCACTACCCTGTTACAACCACAGACTGAACAAACTACCAAGCCCGTTTCTCAAACAGAACAGGAGCAGAAAGAGAACTCACATTTCCAAAAATAAAATCTCACTTTTGTTATCCCTGGATCGTCCCAGAGATGTATTCTTCTGAAACACAGAAGTACAGCTAAATACAGAAGACAAGCCTCCACTTACACCTAATGACAATACACTGAAGAGGGCTAGCAAACAGCACAGCTGAACACAAACACTGACAAAGATATAAAGCCCCTCAGCTTCAAGATGATGGTGATTTAAGGCTTACAGGTTCTCATTTCCAGCACTGTTAAGATTCAGTCCACCAATTAATCACAGGTTGATACAAAATACATCTTACAAACACTATATATGCTTAGTCTGCAGAGCAGTTTTGCTTGTACCGCCAGCCAATGCCTGGAATCCTCAAGAGGGGTGTTGTAAGAACCAAGAACTATGATAGCTGCAGCAATTTTAAAACGTGAAGCATTCTAAGGCAAAAATCCCAAACATCTAAAGTCAAGCCAAGTGAAAGGGGCAGATGCCATGCAATCTAAAGAGAAACTTGTGTTACGGTGTACTGCATTGCCATGCACAAGAGACCAAAAAGAGGTTGCATCAAGAAAAAGCATTGCAAAGTCATTGTATTCTAACCAATGAGCTTTGAAGCAGAGCATGGAAGAGTAAGTGACTTCGCAGGTTCAAAAACTCCATCTTAATTTTTTCTAAACCACTAGAAGAAGCTTAATTTAAATGCTATGATGTCTCTAAACATTCAGAATTAATCCCTCCTCTATGAAGAAATGGTACTTTGAACCAAAGAGCATTTGTTTGGAAAGCTACTTCATCTCCCTGTTTGATGCCTAGCATTTGTTAGAATTAAGAACCTTTTCTGTTATTATTTTGTGCTATTTTGGCCAAAATTTAAGAAAACTTGCTACCTTTGATGATCCATCATTTCTAGCAAGTAGGTTTTGTACATTCATGCAAATATAAGGAATAACCTAATTTTTTTCAGATTAACCTAGTAAATGGGTTTTCAAGAGAAAAAACTCCTTTCAGCAGCATAAGAAATTCTGATTAAATATTTAACAGGAAGAATTTAAACTGGATCTACAGTAAACACAGAATGAGGATTTATTGTGTTTTGAAAATGAAGTTGGATGCAGTACTATTTCAAAAACAACAAAACCCTGTGTTCTACATGTTGAAACAGGTAAAGCCCTATTAGACTTATATCAAGTGTAAGATGACTTGCATCTGGAACTCCTAGTCCACTCTGACCAAGACCACAGATTAAACCTAGTTCAATCACCAGCCTGTTCAAACACTGGTATACATTTATCTGCTTACTACTGCAGAAACTTTTACTGATGAATTCTGCCTTCTGCTGACTGATTTCTTTTTTTCTGCTTTTGTTTTGCCAGTTTCACCCCGGAGCAAACCGTTTGTATGTAAGACCCCGAGAAAGACTGCACTTTCTGGGTAAGATCTACAGCAATCATGTGGGTATACATTTACCACTGGCAGCTATACTATCATAATCGTGTTCTTAACGTGAGGTAGGTGATTTAAATATTAAAGATTACCCTGGGATTAAAATTAAAGGTGAAGTTTGGCAGCTCAATATAAAATCTATGGGTATCCACAAGAAGGAATTCAAACTCAATTCCAGATTGTCCTAATTTTATTTGACTTGGTTAACCAATTTTGAAGCACTTTTTACAGTTGACATAACTTAAAGGAGCACACTGTGTCCTATAAATATAAATGAACATTTTTAATAACTCAAGACATCACAACAAAGCCAGATTTTGAAATAGATTTTCTGTTTAGTTATCTGGATCAAGAAGGAACATACATGGAGAAAAAAAAACAGCATTAACAAGAAAACACTGCTTAGTTCTAAACTGGGTTTGTGCTTCTACACCAAAAACACAACACTGAAGTAACAAGAACTCTGCAAAGAACTTGAAGAGGTACATAACTTCTGTAGTCCCAAAACCAAAGTACAAGTTTATTTCTTCTTCTGTTATTTGGTTTGGTTCTACAAAATTAGTATTAATGGTAGAGGGACAAGTGTACAAATACTTATTTTGCTGCTAATGGGAATTCTGTTTTAGCAGTTTGTTAGGTGGTTGGTTTGGGTTAAGTTGAATTGGGTTTCCTGCGTGATAAACAAGAACAAATCTCTTCAATGTATTTAATAAACAACGCATTTGTTAGTACAAAGCAGATGGTGTTCAGCAAGAAGGCATTAAATGATCATTTGAAAACACCATGTGTGGGGTTTTTTTAATACTAAGCCACACTAAAGAATTTGGTGAAGGCCAGATGTTCAAAGCTGGTGCTCAGGTATAAGCTGCACAGCCATGATGTATGTACTGAGAGCCTGGCAGGTGTTAACATACGCCAATAGTTATTTGCATGCTTTCTTTACGACATACAGAAGTTAAGTCATCTTTCACTAAACTTTGAAAATCTGGTCTTAGTTACAAATTAACACTTTGCTTCACTCCATTAAGTTAACAAGAGGCATTAATCCATCTCAAAATTGGTTGATGACTAAAAATAAGAGTGATATTTTAGCACTAATAATTTTGTACAAATCTACAACACACGTGTTTGTCCTCAAAATAAGCAAACAAATCTTAATTAAATATTTTCTTGTATATTACACTCACTACAGATTATTTTTCAAAGCAATCTTAGAACTTAAAAGTTAGAAAATTTTATTTTTAAAGAGTTACTTTAGGCTTAGCTAAAAAAAATAAAAAATTAATTATGTACTAGGGCAAAAGATGGAGTTAAGAGTCAGCCTCTGAATGCTTCTTAAAAGTAAGTGGTTCAAATACAGGTTTAGAAAAGAAATTAAACATGTTTTCAGTCACACTGAAGAAAACATCCGCAAAGAAAAGAGACCCTTATCCTTAAGACTGAAGAAGAGGCAGTAGGAGAAGACAAAAAAAAAAAGACCAAGAAAAAAAAGCACTGTTTTCCCAAGTTGCCCAAATCACACACAGACACAAGAAGGTTACAAATGCCATTCATGAAAGAATGCACCACAAACATCAGCATTTATTCATGTTGGTTGTTGGTTTTTTTTTTTAGCAAATGACAAAAGACTCGGCTCACTAGCTTCACTTCTGTTTACCTTTTGCTTACATTACACATTGAAACATTTGTCAAAACTTACTAAGTTGTCTGCATTCATGCACAGCTAGAAAACATCCTTAATTTATTTAAATCAGAAATGCATTACCAGAAATGTGTTAACATTGTTCACTACTAAACATAAAAAAAAAAGAAAAAGTTGAAATTATTAAAAAGGTTATCCTGGAAATGTTAACTTCACAGCAGACTTAAAACTACTAATTGGCTCACATTTCAAATTGGAAAAAGCAAGATTCATGCTAGTGTTAGTGTACACCTTGCCCTAGCACTACTAGGTTCACCTTGATCATATATAATAAAAGGAAAAGTGCATACAGAAATTTACAACAATTTTAAGGACAAAAAGAATGGTCCAATTGATGTGGTCCCAACAATTAACTCAAAAGTCTATGACAAATACGAGCTTCGGTGAGCTATTTATACTACTTAAGTACGGATATACAGAAAGTCGAGTTCGTTTGAAATCTTCAAAAAAATGTTCCTGTCAATCCTCAAATGGTGGCTGTTATAGCTTAAAATTCTGTTAAATGCGTGCGTTGAATTACTTGTTATCCAAGCGTAGCGGGTGCTCCTTACCATTTATTGTTAGCGACCTTAACTGACCATCTTCTTCAACTTCTACTTTCTCTCGTCCATTCTCAACAATTCTGTAGGACAAAAACCACAGCCATTTTAAAGCCCTGTAAGCAGTCTGCAAATATATGCCAGATCTAGGTTTTTTTAGAACAAACTATAAGGGAGCACTGCCTGCTTAATGCAACTGTAGTTGGCAAGCTTTGGTATTTAACAGTGCAAAAGCTGTAACTACTAGCCATCTGCATTCCCCTACTGAAATTCTTGTTTACAGCAGGAAAATTGCTTTCTGGAAGTTTGAATCCTCCAGTTTGTAGAGTTCACAGTTACAGCTGTTGCCTCATGCACTGTCACAGTTTTACTGACACTACACTATTAATTAAGACTAAATGTCTTTTGACAGATCAACTGTACAATCTTGGCGTAGAATTTAGTACCTACCCATTTGTTAAATGCATAATAATCTATATCCAATCATAGTTTTGCATGATGCAAGACACGCAAAACAGTCTTTAAGCCACTTTTAATTTATCAGAGTAATTAATTTGCAGAACGACTGTATACCAAGTTTATCACCAGCATGTATATTGCAAAATTCCAAGTATCCCTGATCATAATGAGAGATTGTTAGAGTTCCGTGGGTTTGGACTTTGTTTGTTTCAGACATGGAAAGATAAGGAATGTTTAAACTACTTTTAGATTATTTAATTTATGCCAAATTTTAACTGTGTGGGAATTCTCCCCTTCATGATTCAAACAAAGAAACCAGATGGATGAATACACATTTTTTCTGGTGTTAAGACTTACTGAAGAGAATACACCCATACTAAAAACAGGGAATGGCTTCTTGCCTGAAACAAAATACTATTCAGATACTGGGATACATCTCTTCTTTAGACTTCACTACCCTGTGGTCAGACCTTCTACAAAGAAACAGGACCTCTTGGAGATATTAAATGTGTCTTTCTAGACATGGCTAGCCATATTTCTTGCTCCCCCCCCCCCCCATATGATAATGAAAGATATAATGTAGCATACTATAGATTTAGCCTACTTTTTAATCCTAAAACCAGACATGGTGCCATATTTTGCATTAACACTTTCTTTGCTCTCTGTCCCCTGGTACAATTCCCTCAGTTTTCAAATTTTTCTGGAATACACTCACAGAAAAGTATCATGACCACACAAACACACAGCGACAAAGGCTGCACTTACATGGTCAAGACAAGATCTCTCCAGTACAACAGGACAGAGAGCAACCTTGCACTCTGAAGTATGGGACACAAGTTACCCACCAAAAAAAAAAAAATTGGCTCTCCATTGCTTTTCTGTAACTTTTTATTAAGTACTGAAATTACATTTAACCACTTGTTCAGTACTCCTGTAACTTAGGGATCATAATGTGCCATGTATATTAATTACTCTATAGCTAACTAATATTTGGATTTCCCAACTGCAGTGATTTCCCCATCACAAGCATGAATATGAGAAGATATGCTGTGTATAGTAGTTGAAAATTCACTTTCCAACAAACAGGAAAAGATTTCTCCAAAGCAGGTTTCAGCTCTTTATTTCACTTAACAGATAAAATTACTTTTCACACAAAAATTTCACTCAAGCACTGCCTAGGAAAGCAAACTAGAGCAGATATTAGGAAAACTGTTTCATGTTTCATGACGTCTGCAAAACTAAAAAGTCCTCCCAATCCCCAGTTAAAAGCTTCACAATCAACAGAAACCACATGCATTTTTCCCCTCCAGCAGCTCAAACAGACTTGGCAGAAAGTAGTCAAAGACCATAATAAAAGATGAATCCCTACACCGGAGGTTCTGAAAGTCAGGAAGAATTCCATTGCTAGGTCCCTTTCTAACAGCAAACAAGTTGCAAGCTTCATTTTCCACAAGGGCAGCTCTGAAAGTATGTTTTACACATCTGAACCCTCCTCAACTAAGAGTTTAGACACACAAAAAAAAAAAAGTCTTACCCATTTTCTACATGCTATAGCTTTAAGTAACTCAGCAATGCTAAGAAAAGTCAGAGAACAAACCGAACTTCTCAAAAATTTAAGCAGAGAAATCCAAGCAATGTGATGACCACACCAGCAAAAGTAAAAACACATACGTAGATCACTATATTTATGCGCATATACATATAGTATACTTAAATGCATGTATTTATAGTTACATATGTCTCTACATATCATTTTATATGAACATTTTTATCACATACCTCTTTGTAGTAATTTTTCTGCCATTAACTATTTTAGTTGAAGTTGATACTGATTTGAAGTTAGCCAGCCCACCACCACCAAATGACGTGGAGGAGAATGAAGCAAGGCCTCCATGTCCCAGCGAACCAAATGAAGTAAAACCTATTAAGAAAGAAGGTATGTGACTAAAAACACATTTCTGCATGACCATGAGATCCAAATCAACACAGCACCAGTGACTAGATGCCATTAACCACCAGTGTGAGAATAAAAACATAGCTCCAGACCCACTGATTTCTCCCATATGGACCCATAGATTCAATTCCAAATGCACAGCATCATGCAAAAACCATTCGTCACCTGAAGAAAAGGCATTCAAGCCTGCTTGCTGAACTCAACCACTGTCTCATTCTATCCACTAAGATAAAGCTAGTAACTTCAATTCATCTGGGGTTTTTTTGCTTTAAATGTCGGGATTCTGTTGAGTTAGCAGCCAGAACAAGCTTCCTATCATAAGCATCCCAGCTAACATCCAGAATCTTAATAATTGAAAGGATACAGAGTGTCAAAAGCTCTCAGCAACCTCAGGTATAAACACCTGCATTCAGACTGAACTGCTACCATACATTCTGACAGTGTATTTTTAGGACCTTAACTAATAGCCATCAAAGCTCCAACACCTAAAACCAAACAGAACAAAAACAATTCTAAAGCTATATAGAAACCATAGCACCAAAATTAAGAACAAAGTTCTACCTTTTAGAGGTCTGTTCACTTTTCATGAATTTTTAGGTAAACCAAATATTTTAACAATACCCTTTTTCACATACAGACTTTACAGAGAGCAGATAAAGTGCAGCCTCAATTTCCTGAATGAAGGCAATTTTTTTAAAAAAGTATTCAGATTATTATATTGAGATCCTTTGTGTACCAAAACTGCATTCCTTGTTGTGATATTTACCTGCGTCAAATGAAGGAAAGCCACTTCCAAAAGCAGGGAATCCACTAAAGGCAGAGAAAAACGATCCACCACTTCTGTTTCTGCTTCCCCTTGGACCCCTCCTGCCACCAAAGAAGTCCTCAAAAGGGTCTTCTGCAAAACAGAGGAAAGTGTTTAAGAGGTCACTATTACTGAGCAATTCTGTATTTAAACATAAGGAATTCTTTATTAAAAAAAAAAAAAATATGCATTATAGAAGATTCATCCTTTGAAATATCTGATGCAATTGAAGAGTCCAAAGCAATTCCTTCTGGACTAAATTCTGTCTCTTCTGGACCCAAAAATAATTATAAAGAGTAGTCTGGTTTTTTGTTGTAGGTGTTTAGTATTTAAAAAAGTAAACCTGATGTAAACACTTGAACATTTTTCAGTATAATACAAAAGCATTATACATATTATATATTATTATTTTATAATGTATTCATATTAATATTGCATGTATTATACACCTATTACTTATATTTTATGGTTTCTTTATAACATTATTTATTATATATCATTAAAATATTGTTTCCATAATATGTTCATATTGCATAATACAGTGGAGGTATGTTTAAAATTAAATCAGTATTTATTTGAGGGTAACTATGTCCAGTCAGTTAGCATTTGACAGATTTAACACTGCTCAGATGCGTAATCATGATCCCTTACACAAGCCACCATAAGACAAATCATTCAGCAGTTCTACACTCCCTGCTGTCACACTAAGTTTTTCCAAGCTATAAAGAGCAGCACTACAGATTAAACTCCTAGAATTTAAATATAATGACTCTTAAAATATTGCACACAGGTACCTGAACTTTCTAGCTTAATTCCATTCAAGATTTATTATGGATCACAACAATGAGATCTTTAAAAAGTAACTTCCAGATAAGTTATATCACTTAGTGAGATACAAAAACAGCAGTCAGGAATTGATTACTTATAATCTTAGTGTTCAAAGTGTTTATTTTAACACTTGCCACAATAGGTACTTCAAACACATATTCTGATGCACATTCAGGCAACAAAGTAGGGAGGTTTACACACAGTGTCTCAAAGCAGCATTCAGTTCCCACCAAGCAGGGGAAAGAGAGGATAAATAAAGGGAGTCATAGATAAAATGACATTTCAAATTCAAGTACAACTGTTATGCCATTCACAACAGCTGTTGTTTCATCCCCATCAGAAAGACAATACTCTCTTTAAAAAAAAAAAAAAGGGAAGGGGAGAGGACACCAGGCACCTACATAAGCAATCCTTTTTTACTTTATCACATCTTCCTAAAAAACAGTTACTACTAGAAGTAACTGAAAACTATTTTTTACTGATGCTCTGAAAACAAAACAACACAAAAGTGCAATCATGTAACAGATACTCAATAAGCATAATACTTGCTTTAAAATCAGAAAAGTTTAGGAGCTTCCACTGCTCACTCCATCAATCACAACTCTCCCAGAGCGAGTTTGTACAGTACTGACAATTTTACCGAGTTTTACAAGCAGGGACTCAGTATCAAAAGGTAACAGTCTGAAACACTGCTCAGAATAAGCTCATACTGAAAAACGTAGAAACCAGTGATAGCAGCAAACAGAAGTAGGAAAGCAAGGAGAGACTTATAACCACCTCTGTTCAGAACTACAAATTGACAAAGCAAAAGTCAGAAATGCAGTATTTATTCCAGCTACAGTTACCCCTAACAAAATCCAAGCCAATTTATGACAAATCAGCAATTTAATGCAACTGTGACAATACTAAATGAATCCATTTAAAAAGTATCAGTTACCATGTGGTTTACATGCAATTACCTAACACAAATGAAATGTCACAACATATTTATACTGAACACCAGCAGCCACCAAGGTTCAGACATACATTCCCATCGGCAAAGACCCAAAATGCCAAGAACAAAAAAGATAGCCCTATCCTTCCTCTGGCTTCCACAGCTGTTTAACAGAACAAGGCAGGATCAAACATTTATCCTACATACACTAGACAAACAAGTGATAACATTTTCTCTAGCTCAGGTGGATGGGGGTTTTTTATGCCTTTCTTTTCTCCATGTAAAACCAGGTTTTTACAATACAAAGATGGCCTGCTATTACCTTTAAAGCAACAAAAGGTAAACCAATGCTTGGGCAAGGAAATACAGAAGCCTACCACCAAAATTATTAATTCCAAAACAAGCACTATGCCCAGTTAAAAAAAAAAAAAAGATGGGTTGTGGTTTTTTTGGTCAGTCTAGCAAGTAAAGCCACTGAAGTTAATTGTTTTGTACTCCAATTTATTCTTGCTGGAGTGACTCATAAGCTCGTTATGAAGGTCATTCACTCACGTGTAGAAACGATCTATATTATACCACTCCCACTGTTAAGCTTTCTATTTATAGCCCATTTTTCTTGTTACCTGGAGTTCAAATAAAAACAAAACAACCCACCATGTAAGCTCTGAGGTTTTAAGCCCCCACAGTACATCAGCTTATTTTTTCTACAAGCAAATCTCTCCTCCTCAGCACAACAGCAGCAAACCACTAAAGCTTTTTAAAGGGAGGATCAAAGGGCCTCCTAGAAATCCCTGTTATCAACCCAGTTTCTAAATGGATTATTGCCGACTCCTAGCCACAGAAAAAAAAAATTTAAGTGAGACTTGGATGTGCCTTATTAGCCTTTGGCAACACTACACAATAACAAAAAAATACCACTTGGTATTAGCAAATATTCTAGCCTCAGGTGATTTCCATTAGCAGCCCTACTAGTAATTATCCAGCAAAGATACTCTAACCACTCTTCTGCAGAAATCTCAGCAAAATAGATTGTCCATAGACAGGAAAATGGGTAGGACTTTCCTGAGGGAATGTTCCTTAGTATCCTGATAGCCATCCAGGTACAGCATGCGGGGGGGGGGGGGCGGAGGAGGCCAAAAACAGAAAAGAGAAGGCACCAGAAAGCTTCTGCATTATCACTTGTTTTACCTACCACCAAATACACGTTAATATAGCAACTTCACAAATACTCAGACCCTTTTTAGCCCTCAAATCAGGATGATCAGTAGTACCACTCCGCAAACATTTCAGTCTGATAAATCTATTTTTGTGATTTTGCAGAACCTTCCCATGCATTATAATCTTTGCACACAGAATCATTTGGCTAAAACCACCTAACACAGTGAATAATAAAATATCAGGGTGTTGTGGGTGGGTTGTTTTTTTTTTTTAAATAACTCCTCTTAAGATAGTCGCTTTGGTGCTTAGTTTTCTTATTGTTAGAAGCACATCAGAAAACTGAAAAACCACAAAAACAAAACAAAAAACAACCCCACAAAACAAAATACAGCCCACAAGTGGAGGCCTTTCTAAAAAGGTAAAATACTATGTAAATACTACACAACTCAAAAGCTTCAGAAAACTGAAACGCTAGACTAGTGTCACATTAATTCACCATCCAAAAGAAAACACTGAGTTGTTAACTTTCTGTCACATCCATGACCTAATCTGAGTCACTACTGGCAAAACTGGTGATCTGAAAGAAAATGGGCTGGAAAGCATCATACAATAGGCACAGAAAGGGAGTAAACCCCAGATTATCTACATCTGAAACAATCCACAACTCAGTTAAACTTCATGAAATTCATCAGACCAATCTAAGGCATTAGATTCACAATAAACTAAAAGTGCCATATTCCCTACAGCAATCACTTCTACCATAACACCTGCACCCTGGCAGCTGCTTGGGGAACCAGATCAAGAACATATAAACTGAAAACAGCATCTCCAGATGAACAGAAGTTCAGCTAATTGATCTTTTGCTAAAGTTCACAGTGTGACCATAAAAGTAACTGCTGGTTACAAAGAAGACAGCAGGAAGAAGTGTCCAAGGGCCAAAAGCAGCACAGGACGGTGCTTTCAGCTGTTGAATAATGCTATCCCTGGTGAAAGTGTCGAACACATTCCAATGCAACACTATTTACCTCCAGAAAATCGTAAGTGTTGTGATAAACTGTGCACTGTCAGCAAACATTCTCACATGCACATGCTGCTGCAGCTGGAGAAACTGATAATTTTATAGGGACAGTTTGCAAAGGAACATTACCCTATAAAAAACAGGATCACTCAGTAACTACATACTACTGCCTCTGCCAAAAAACAACACACAAGCTGAATGCCCTCACTGCAGATGCAGGAGAATGACACTGGAGCTGCCACACACTGAGCAGAATAATGTTGCAAGGCTGCTCAGCTCAATGCCATTATTACAGACTCCCATGTTTCAGTAAGCAAAGACAGCATAGCCTGCTTGCCTGCCATAAATGTTATATTAAAAGCATACTATAAGTGACATCATTCCAGTAGAGTCTGAAATGTGGGTCTGAATAATGTGTTCATGCAAAGCGCTACAGATACATGCTACATAGAATAAAGCAGAATTCTGGGAGTAGGTGTTTTTATCTTACCTCCTATTCAAAAAAAATAGTTTCAAAGATGCAGATTTGCAGTAGACACATAGAATCACATAACACAGCTCTGAAGTAAACACAGGTACAAAAACCTGCATCATCAGAACTGGGCATGCAGCAGAAACCTGTAAGCACTTTTGCATGGAAATATTTTCTTCCTTAACTGCAAAACAAACATACTGTTGATGCCAATTACTCAGAAAAGACACCAATATGCTGCTGTAAGCACTACTGATTCACCCGCCTAAAATGTTTTACAACATGGTCTTTTATCACTGCTTACTTCCACAAATTAGATGTCAAATAGATGTTTGCCCCACTTATTTAAGAACGTTCATCTGCAGAAGCACTTTAAAGTCTTTCTAATGATATATAGCAGAGATCCTGGGATTAGTAATTTCCTAGAAAAAAAGAGACTTAAACATGACCTCTGAATGCCATCCATACTGTACTCTAGCATCTTTATAATTATGGTAAGTCCAACTCTAATCAGAGTTTCGTATTTACCAAACCAATGCCCAAATGTTCAGGCACACCTTGGAAACAGAAATCTTCCATTAACATTGTTATGTCCTGCTCACCTTGTGCTGTGTTCAGCGTTTGTCCTCTGACCAATTCAAACAGCTTGCCATCCAAGAAAACAAAACCAAACCATTTTCTTGGGGACTAATAACCTGAACCAGCTCAGGATGCCAAGAACAAACGTCCTCTTAGGCCAATGTGCTATCAAACAGCTTCTCAATGTATTCAATGGTCAAAGACTAAGTTTTAAGACATGATCATTTGGAGCAGTGGGCTCCTCTCTTTCCGCAGCAAAAGCTAAGTATTAGCTTAGATACCCACTGTGCCACAGCATTACCTATTACTGTTTGATAATGCTGTCTGGGTGAGACAATTACTGTGTTCCAAAAGTCTTCAAACCTACCAAGTAATTTCTGAGAAACTCATAGTAGTGGGATTGTGACCATTACATGAATAATCATGATCCAAGACCCATGCTTACAAACTACAACTGTGTACATTAATACCAAAGCAATGAATGAACATGCTAATCTCTGAGCACTTCATGAATTGCACTGAAAGCTGCAAATTCATGTCAACAAAAAGATTAATTACGAAGAGGTCAATGCTGTGCAATACAGCTTTAATCAAAAATTTTTTGGTTTAAGAACCCATTTGACTAACAAACACATTTTGCATTAGAACTCCTGAACATCGTAATTATCAGACATGGGATTACATATGGATTGAAACCATGATCTGACTCTTATGGAAGCTTGTGTCCTACTGAGGCAACTTTCTGTCCTTGAGACAAAAAGGCTGATGAAGCTATTCCATTCCTAAACATCCTAAAACACAGATCACGTAAAATAGAGTTTGCAACAATTACTGCACAGAGATTTTCCCCTTTCTCGTTAGGCGAAGACTCTTTAGCCTGGATACTTAAAGTCACTCACTATACTTTATATCTAATAGACCATGAGTATTATGGTAACCAATATTACAGTAGTCAATATGCAGTACATCGGTACACAAATAGCTAGTTGACATTCTCTGTGACTTATATCTAGCTAGCCATATAAAGGTGTTAAGATTAATTTTACCTGTGGTTTCCAGGAGTATAGATTTAAGTACCACATAAACCAGGTAACCAGAATTCTCCAGGGAAAACTCCAGAAAATGTGTATGGGTTCATACACATCAGCTGGTCTTAAATTTAGATTAAAATACACTGCGAGTTCTACTTCACAAACGAAGAAAAAAATTACGACATTTTTATAAAATACCATCTCAGAAGGTACACTGAGAATATTGAAGTGTTTAGGAACTCCAGCAAAACTGTCAAGATTATGATCTATGCTGAAAGAGACTCCACAAAGTCCTCTCTCAAAGTCCAGAGAGACCATCTATCTAGAGCAATTTAACACATCACATTATTAACATATTTTACCATGGATTAAAGCATGGTTCCTTGTGGGATTCATTAAACTAGATATACAGGCATCTAAAGCTCTTTGAAATGTCCCACAACAGCCTAACAAGCTTCTAATACTGCTTCTGGAAAATACTGGTCTGCTGTAGGTCCTGAGCCCATACAAAAATTACTCAGGCATCTCAAATACCCTAAATCATCTCAAATGTCATCAGATCTGTATGTGAAGCTCAATATATACAACTACTTAAGGAGTTGCTTGAACTACTAATGTAATGAACTACTTCAGTTGAACCACTAATGGTTAACATTATGCTCTCATGATAACCATTCCATCTTCCAGTGCAATTCCTTACTGATAATCCCTTCCAACATATAACCTGTTCTTGAAATGAGAATCTGAAAAGCCTCTAAACCAAAACCAAGTCAATTCTTTAATAGCCCAGAATCAGTGTCAAGCATTTTTTTCCTATGTGAAAACACATCAGTTTCTGTTCATCATAGTCCCTGAAGCAGCAGTCTTTATACAATATACCTCCCCTAACAGTGGTAACATCAGGATCACTATGAACTGATAAAATACAGAACATCCTTGAAAAGTTTGCAAGTAAAACACTACCTGCAATACAAATAAACCAAATAAAGGCAAGCACCATATATAGTCAGATATAGTTAAAATATAAAACAAGCTTACAGAAATGAGAAATCAATCCCTTTATGAAGAGTAAAGCGTCAGTTCTCATGTCAAAGGACAGCTGCATATGGTTCAGAGTGCTGCTTACCATCTAACCAGGCACTGATATTCCGAAGTAGCACTTTACAGTATAACGAGTAGTACTGCATAGGAAGCATTACCTTTTCTTCTGTTACAAGGCTTACCCTTCACCTATCTCAAAGAGACTGAAAACTATCACTGGAAGAGGTCACTAGGAAAAGGCAGATTCTGGTGTAACCAGCTGTTACAGAAAGGAAGTGCACACCTCTAAAGTTGAGTTAACCATCTATTACCTTATCAGAACAAGTTTTTAGAAGTACTAGCATTCATACGCCCTTATTCCAAACAATTGGCCTGAAAACCAGCGAAGAAAGACTGTGATGAGCTGAGTTAACTTCAGTGCAACACAAAGCACATAACATTAACTTTGCTCAATGTGGAAGTGTTAAGAGCCGTCTTCAACAGAATTATAAATTTTTATTTGAGAAGTCTGTGGTGGTTTGTAACTGAGTCCCTTCAGAAGTCTTCATACATTCTCCTCTTTTTTACAGATGAATAAAGATGCCTCTGCTCATACAGAAAACTTCCTATAACTGCAGTCGCAGTGCAACATAGCTCAGTGGAGTTTAACAGACTTGATTCATGGCACAACTTTAAGAATTCTTCACATTGCTTAATTTATAGGGATTATGCATCTGAATGGTGTTCTTTTTACATACTCAATGGCAATCAGGATAGAGAGAGTCCCACCTGCAGTCTATGTGCTTCAGTACATACTACTTCAAACTGTGTAAAAGGTGTAAACATTTCAAAGCATATATTTCATCTTTGATTCCACCAGTGCACATTCTAAAAAGCATTACCTCAGTCCTTATTCAGCTGCTTATAAAAACAATTATAACCTGAGTAGCTCTTTAAAAAGTCAGTAGTTCCACAGAAAATTCAAAGTTGAAAACTCTTTTTTATTAGACAAATTCCCTTATTCTTCAGGACAAAAGCTGTCCCACCAGCTGTGGGTGTTTCAACACAGCAGAAGCTACAAGGCCTCTTGTTCACCAACACAAATATTTGTGTTACACATGCAATTCTACTGCTTGCTTTTGGCATTAGCAAATGCACCATGTTCAGCTGAAAGCCCCTGTATTTTCATTTTGGACTATCTTAAACATTTGCATAAATGGAGGGATTGTTGTGGACACTTTTTATGCAAAGCTGTGGGAAAAATTGTTTTGAGTCACACTCCCCGTAATCAAACAACATCTGAAGCATCTTAAAGAAAAAAAAAGGGGGGAAAAGTGCTCACTTTGAAGCTTTCTGTCAAAAAAAGTTCCAAGAGCTTTTACTCAGAATCTGAAGCTCAACACAGGTTTTAGAAAATTAAGTAGGTAACCTGCTTTTGAGTAAATAAATTTGGGTGTTAAACAGGGGGAGAATGTTTTTGGAAGCATGCCTCAATGTCACCATTGAGGAATGTTATGTCCACTGTTTCCACAGGGTAAGATGTATCCCTATTCCTCTACAGGAGAGGGTGAAGTAGCTGCAATATACCAGGAACCTTGGCAATAGTGGCATCTCCATGTGGTGAGCTCCAGTCCCTTAATAGTCTTAGTGGCTCTTCACTGGACTCTATCCTGTAGCTCTGTCTCTTGTCTTGGGGAGCCGAGAACTGGACACAATACTACAGATGTGGCCTAAACAGTGCTGAAAGCACTCATCTAAATGGAAATCATCATTCAGTGAAGGCAGCAAAAAAGTTGCAACGCCCCAGCTCAGCCCCTGTTTCATTCATCAATATTTTGTTAATGCTTCCTCCAATCTGCACTTTACTACTTCTGATTTGCTACTGGATCTAATTGCTCAAGTTCTGCTGCTTATCCTTTACCAGATTCTTCCTCTAGTTACTCATGTAATTCATCAACTAACATTCTACCGAATTAATCCTCTAGCACTTCAACAACCCCTTTTCTAATTCTTCGCTAGAGTCACCCAACAACTGATGATCCCTGAATAGCAAACTACAGAAAGGTAATTAAAATCTGAGTTGAATTAGCCCTTTCATGCTGCCAGCAAAGATAAAAAATTCTTTGAAAATATTGAAACATCTTCATACATTGTTATAGAGATTAAACAATATCAAGGCACTGAACAGGAGCTCTGCTTTTCAAGTACACTTCTTGCAGTTTTCAATGAGACTATTTACTTTAAGTAAATACTGAACACAGGACCTGTTCCACTTTCTAGGTTAGCATTTTATGCAGCAGAACATACACAGTGATTTCATAAGAACTGCAACACCTCTGAAAAGGCTTTCAATACACTACAGTAACCAACATCACAAGCTGAAGGACCATCGGCACTATGGTAATAAGATCACTTTGACAATTTTATCACACTGTTTCTCCTTTAATTAAATGACGCATCAAGGCTTCAAAAACTACTTAAGCTATCTGAGCCTTAAGGGGCTCTATCCCCCAAGCAAACATGTGACATGAATTTGGGAGAGTATCGCCTACGTTATGTTTGCAGTTGTTCTTGTTTTGATACAAGAAAATCATTCCTGCAACCATCCAAGTTCAAGCTGAGAGCTATGGTGTAAGAGTTACAGTTAACCTGTCCAGTTCAGAATCTCTAAAAGCTACATTAAATATTTATAAATAAAAACAGATCAAATTCAACAAATTAAGTTCACCCAGTCAAATTCTCTAAAGGGAATTTCAGCCTATTGAATGTTGAATGTTAGTTCCTTCCAACCTAGAGACACAGCACTCACAATGTTATGACTTTTTAAACCACGACTTCCAACAAAACATACCTGTTCTGTACTATCAAATAAAACAAGAACAAACAGGTAGGAAGTAAACATTTTAAATCTAACACAAAATGCCCATTGTTTACCTGCAGTTCTCAGAGCTAATTCTAATAAAGCTGCATTGGCTATATTTGTTCTGCAAGAGTAAAGTTTTAGCCCACTTTAGATAAACGTAACTAAACCAGGTGGATTACTTACCAAAGAACTCAAATGTAAAGGGGTCCCTTCCACCAAAAAACTCCCTGAACACATCTTCTGGGCTACGGAATGTAAATCCAAATTCAAATGGATTATCATGATGATTTCCACCTGCAAAAAGATGTTAAATTTCAGTTACCCTCACACATTCTTACTAACAAGAAAGTTCAGGTCTGTATGGTATTTGAATCATTTAAAGATATAAACCCATCTTTAAAATGTCTCTTTCCCTTTCAGGTATAAAGTCCAGACAATACTTCTCATCACTAACTGCCTTGTCTCTGTTTACAGATTCAGTAATACCTTTTACTACAACAAGAAAAACTGCAAAAACAACTGTCATTTCAATTTTCACAAGGTTACATTTTAGGCCTTAGTACAGGCATTTCCAGATTCCCGTCTTAAAAAGAAAGCTGCAGAAAATTGCTCTCCACCAGAACAAAGAACGCAAAGAACTGGCAATTGTCAACATACCTCCGCCTCCATTTATTAAGCCTTCTTTTCCATATCTGTCATAGAGCTCACGTTTTCTAGCTACAAGGAGAAGTTGTATATGTCAGTAAATAGGCACACTGAATTTGGAAAAGAAAAACAAACCAACAACAAAACATGACAAAAACCCCAACAAATACATAACTGGTATTATCAGCTACACATTCCTCAAAGCTACTTTATCTGAGACAGTTCTGTCATGTATCTGGGCAAACATTGTTATTGAGAATTGCCAAAGCAATTTAGGCTCAAAAAGAACAGATACTAAACCTTAGGACTTACTACCACTTAGTTGTAGAAGCTCTGATCCTGTCGAATAAAAAAAAATAAAAATAAAAAAAAAATAATAAAAATAAAGGAGGTATAAGGACAAACTTCACAAGGAAGCTTGCCTTTAAAAAAAGAACACTGCAGTCAAGTCTCAAAGTTGGTCAAAACTTGCCTGGATAAAGCCCTGATCTCCTCAATCTCCAAGAAAAGATTCCACAGTCTCTCTGGAAAAGAGTCCCAGGCTCAAGCACTCTCATTGTTAGCATTGTCTTCCTACTACCCAACTGGAATTTCCCTTGTTATAAAAGCCTCGACCACTGCCTCTTTTCTTCCTATTGCACAAGATCAAGCCCATTGTAACAGAGCTATGAGAATGAAGGAGAGTGTTTGTACGAGTGATTGCAAAAGCCCTCAAATTAATTATAACCACTTTTAGTTTATTAAAGGGGAATGACATGATATTAAAAAAAATGCCATGGAAGGATGTGACTCAAACTGCTAGCTTTCTATTATTTTTGAAGGCATGGAATGGCTTGCTCTTAATTTCACTGCAGACCAGCCTTCCAGCAGTCATGAGAAAAGGGAAAAAAATAATTCTACATTACTATAGAAGATTAAGACTGCTCTGTTGTTTCTGCAAGGGAACCTGAAGAGCTTACTGAGGCAGACACTCAGTTATTTTGCATGCACTGGTGTAGAAGCAGCCAGAAAATAGTAGGGGCATCTGATTTCAGACTCCTAATATTAACATCCTATTCCCACTGGAAACTCCTTAGTGAAAGATGCTTTTGAAATTTGAATAGCAGCATTGAAAGAACGTGCAGTTACCTCAAACAGTTGAGGAAAAGTAAAATATTCCTAACACGGATTAAAATTTTATATACTGGGCATCATCTTCAAATAATGGAAACTTGCAATAGGATCCCCCACACACCCCCAGCAAAGCTTGGTACATTACCTGTATTGCCTTTCTGGAAAGTAATTTTAAAGAGAGGATGTTACCCTACCCATCAATGTAAAAAGACCAAAGCAGTAAGGCAGACAAACTGACAGAAGGAACAGGAAACAGCACAGACAATCTGAAGGCTCACAAAGCCTGAAGTTCATCTTGAAAAATGTAACGTTCTTGAAACCACAAGGGAAGCACGTTCTATGATCGCCCAATTTCAGTATTCTTTGCTTATGTAACCCCTTACAGAACTATTCTTCTGCCAGAAATCTGTATCCATTCAAGCCTGTAATAGCATCAGAAAATTTCATTAAGTCTACAGAACAGCTGCCTGCCTCTCAACTACAGGGCTCAGGATTCAGATATCCCTGCTGCACAAATGACTGTCAAGACACCAGTAACTTAGGATTTGGTCTAGATCCAAAACCAGGCAGCATTTTTAGAAGATGTTTTAAAATTCTAGCAGTGTAGTCTTTCCAAAGAGCTTTAAGATCTGTAAAACAACCAGACTAGTACCCTATTTTTATCTTGCTTAAAATAAAAAAATTGCATAAGGAGGTTAAATTACTCTAAATGACAAAGATACAATGAACTGACAAACTAAACTATCTTTCTCCGATGTCAATTGCATATCAAAAACAACCCCAAAAAGTGCGTGTACAGCTTGACAAACAAGGCCAAATTCTGAAAGATAATCTAGATGCTGCTAGCACTTTAAATATAGCTTTCCCTTGCTCACTGGTCTCAGGTGAAATCAAGGACACTTCAGAAATAGCACAGACAGCTGCAGTCAATTACAGGGGAAAAATAATCAAAGTCACTTCGTTATGATTCAGCCTGCTTTTGCCAGAACATCAGCACAAGTTAATGATGCTTTCTCCAAGCAAGAAGACAGGGGTGAACCATAAGCTGAATTCCTCTACCACATAGGTGAAGCTAAACAACTTTTCCTGAACAATGAAAAATTAATACTCTCCTCAGTACCACTGATGACTGAATTTATGGAATTCCCCCAAAAGCAATCCAAATTTTCAGCAAGGTTTACAGTACACTTGGGCTTTGTGAAGACTAGTTTACTGTAACAAGAAATAGAGGCAGCAGATACTTCAGAGCTTGTCTAGCCTGACTTTTACTGGATAAAAAAACATCATTCCCCTGTACTGATGGTAACACTGGCTTCACCTCCCAAGATGAAAATGACTTGGTAATCAGATAGATCTTCAGAAATTTCTGAAGAGGGCCTGGCAAACAAGATCTCGATTTCTAGAAGAACTGATTTGGTTACTCCTCTACAGAGATACTGAAGTTTTTGCTTTGAAATTTCTGCTTACCCTATCTTACCTGCAAAAGCTTCTTTATCTCTCCTTTCTTTTGAAAGGAAAGTAGTTGAGCTGGATGGTAAACCAAAGTTACAATATCCCTTTAAAGCATCATACATCAGCACTTTCGGTCTGTTAACCAGACTAGAGACAGGCAAGAGCCCTTTTAAAATACTTACCATCTGACAAAACTTCATAGGCCTCCGCTACTTGTTTAAACTGTCGTTCTGCCTCTTCTTTATTGTCTGGATTTTTATCAGGGTGCCATTTTAGTGCCAATTTACGGTATCTAAGTGGAAGGAAAATAAAGAGTATTTTAGTCTGAAATGAAGGAATATACTTTACAGATAAACACAAAGTGTTTTAAACAAGCTGTGAGGGATTAAAACATTTAAGAATTCCCCAGTGCTTTGTATCTCGCATCTAAACCAGTACCAATAGTTTCTACAGGTACACCAAGAACCATCTAGTCAGATTTGATTTAAAAAAAAAAAAAAAAGAAAGAAGAAAGTGGGTTTGGGGTTCTTTAGTTGTTTTAAGAATATTCCTATGAGTTTCCAATCAGTATCTGGCAGGTCTGAGAAAAACTTTGTGTAACATTTCAGCTATGGGCTTCTCCTTAGAGCTCCGTATTTATTTAATACTACAGTCAACCATGGGAAGCACCGAGAGTATTCATCTGGCACAGAGAAAGACAAAAATGATCCAGGAGTACCCTGATGCCAGACTTTGGCAGCAGCCTAATATCAGTCACTTCTTTGACTGCTACATCTGCACACACTATCTATTCTCAAATGAAATATTCTAGACAGAGTGCTCAACTTAGAGCAGCAAAGCTAACCTTGCACTTAAGTTGGAGTGTTTTACATAGAGTCATGCAACAACACAGCTTGAACATTTGAGCTGGCAAAGTAGCATGTGCAGCAATTTGCAAAATAAAAATGGAGGAAAGAAAAAAACCCACATAAATCAAGCTTCCATGCACTAATTTGGTTAATTAAGTTTAGAATCCTAGGAGGAGGCGAAACTGAAACACAGTATTTTCAGGTCACTGGAAACTGCAATTTACTGTCAAACAGTTTTAGCATACTAAAAATGAGAACTACAGAAATGAGTTGCTCCCAGCTGTTTGCTGAAAAGTAAATGGTATCTTCTGAAAATTTTAGGAACATCCACATTAAAACAACACATAAACAGTAAATCTAAACGAAGAACAGTATGCAATTCTTTTGAACTTCCCTAATTTAATATGGCGGTGGGGAGGGAGGAATACTAACTGATGTTTAGTCCATTCAAATCTAAGCACAGAAACCAGACCTCACGTTAACAAAGAACAACATGCCAAGTACTTGTTAATAACTTTGTAAAAGCATCTCTGCAAATGGAGGGGAGGCCTAGTTACTGCAATCCAGCCAAACAAGAGACTGACGCTGCCTCCTGTACCAGATCAAGTTTGGAAGCGCACTTATGCAGAAATGGATTTAACAGTGATAAAAATCCAGTGACTGACAACATTCTCACTTCAGCAGTACTCAAGTTTCTTTTCCTAATTGCATAAAAACAAGCAAGTGCTTTTTCTTCAGAACACTGAACATTTCTGTTAGCAAAGCTATCACCTCAGATGACTAAACTCACACCCTAGTATTAACTTCAAAGTGAGAATCTAAAAACAATGTTATTATATTTGTTCCTTAAAATACACAACATCAATTAAATATGCTAGTTATACTTACGCTTTTTTAATATCTTCTGCTGAGGCATGCTTCTGCACTCCCAGAACTTCATAATAATCCACCATGTTTCAGTAGTCGTCTTCTTAACAACAGCTGAGCCTTTCAAGTCCTGTAATAACAAGATTTTGGAAGTTAAGCTTGTCCAGTAATGCTACTTCATAGAAGTCAGGTAGTAGAGTATTATTTTTCTGTAGCAAACCTGATCTGAGAGCTCCTGGCTTTTAGAAATTCAAATGTTCCAAAGTAAAAAAAAATAAAAGACATTTGCGATTATTGTTTTGATTTGTATGTTACTCAATCCCCCTAAATCACAGTGCACAGTCACACCAGTAAACAGCAAGTTCCTTAAGAAGACTAAGTACAGTGTGTCACCATCTTGATATATACATTAATAACAATGCAGAAGAAACCATGTATCATTAACACTTTGTCCTCTCTGACACACATGTCATGTCTTAAGCACATAAGCAAAGGGCCACATCTTTCACATCTACTCTTCAGAGCATTACTTCCGCTGTTTCCTTCAAAACCACAATGTACATGCAGGTCTTAGACATCTAAAATCTCACCTACAGATTCTAATAAACCATTCTTGTACTCAAGCATTGACTGAAAATTCACACAGCTACTGAATTCCATTTACTTTCTTTATGATTGCCAATATAAAGCACATAGCCAGGCAAGACTGCTCAAACTACAATGTTAACCAACCAACAGAAGAGAAGTACCTTGTGTTTAAAAGAATGAAGTTTTCACAAGAGTCCTAAGAAACCTACAAGCTAAAAGAAAAAGCATTTGCCGTACTCAAATACTGATTGTTTCTTGTCAATATAAAGAGTTAAAGACCAGTTATATTAACCATTATTTCAACTGAATGACCACAAAGACAGAAGAATCTTTCTAAAAATGTCAAGAATATTTCATGTCTTCATGCAGAGGCTTCTTCCCACCACTGCAACAAGTCCCCATTCTGGCCACACTTCCAACCAACTTTCCACCCTACCACTGCTGATGTTTCAAGTTTTTTTTGAAAAAGGCAACACTGACTTTTACAATGAATTAACTCACTGCCAGCAAAGTCTCACAAACATAAGCAAATATAACAATACAGCAATGTATTAGTCACATTTTCTTAATCTGTGCATCAAGAATAGGTATTAATTTAAATCACTCCTCCCCCAAGTCAGTGTTTTTCATTTCAGCCCAGGCAAAGCCTCATTTTCATCGTATTCCATACAAATGCTGAAAGAATCAAGCATGATATAGCCCAGTAAAACACTATGAAATTAATTTACTGTACTAGTATTACATGCATCTTTCAACATCCTGGCATATAAGCATTAAAGAGAGACTTCCGTTTAAAATGAACTGGTACATCTTCAAAATTCATTGCTGTTCCAAGTTAATGAGCTTTATTTAGGGATGTGGTTACACACACATTTCTTCAAATGGCAAAACCAGTTTAAGAAATACCCTGCCATGCTACCTTCCCCCTTCAGACTACTTAAAGATGCATATGTAGGGAGGAGCTATGTGCATTTGGAAGTTGGGTGGTTTTAGCCACCTAGTTAACAATACTGTCCCACAAACACAAAATTAAAATGTAGCAGGTAAACAGACCTCTAATTATTCTTCCCTTTGAAGAAAACTCATTGAAAAAAAAACTGTATAGTAATTTTGTGACCAACACCAAGGGAAGCTGGGAGACATGCATTAAAACTAATGCAAAATCTAGCACAGTAATGGCAGGGTTCAATATGTAAACAAGGAGATTACCAACAATATACCAGAATATTTGCTGGTAGCTAGCCTTACTAGTTTTGTTGTTTGCCAAGCAACGATTAGAAGAGTTCAATGGACATACAGGTGAGGAGCAAGGTTAGCAATAGTTAAATATATTATCAAATCCTGCAGCTAATCCTTACGAGTAATGGCATATATAGAACATAAAAGTTTACAGAGAGAAATCAGGAAGGGGAAAGGGGGGAAATCTAGTATAAGTAATGCTTAAAGCTAGGCACAACCCCTCCTAACAACACATACTAGCCTAAAACCAGTGAGCTAACAGCAGGAAGCCACAACACACAGAAGCACACACAATACCACTATGTGTTTTTCCTATACTCGCCTTTTTTTCTTGCATTAGCAAGTCAATTTAGGCTGATATCTTGAAGGGACAATTCGAACCTCAAGCTCCTAGTTACAATAAGCAGGTAGGAAAAGCCACTTAGATGTAAAAAAATAAATTGCATCTTTTCCTAGAGAACCTTGTGCACACTGGCAGTAATGCTGATTTCAATGCACACTTCTTTAAACACTTCAGCCAATTGTTTAAAAACAGTGCTTCAGTGTTACATGTTCTGACTCAAAAGATGCAGTGATGTAGTATACTAAATAACACAAATCTGAAGCTGGGACCAAAAATGAGGCAATATGACCAGTTCTTAACAGATTACTCTGACCCTAAAAAGCCACTCCTCCAAGGACAGGGGAATTATTTCAAAGTAGTATCTGGGGTTTCAATATTCTTTGGTGTGTTACTGTTTTTACTTGCCACTAACAAAGTCTGGAATTAAGACATGCCAGCAGCTCTCTAAAGAAAACAAACTGTTTCTATCCTCCTCTTAAACATTCAGGTGACAGTAAGAGCTCATCTCTGACCAATCATTATTTCTATCTGCCAGTTACCATAAAGCATAAATGGCAGTGTTACAATTTTAGGCATCAGAGGAACTTTTTTTACTGTGCACAAAAATATCTTAGCAGTATTTAAATGAAGAAAGTTTTCTGCATTTTCTGGTAGTTTTTTGGTTGGGTTTTTGGGGGTTGTTTTTTTTTTTTTTTCACTAAAATCAGTAGTTCTAACGCTAGTAGGAATCTACACAGTGAAAATGCCTAGATGTTTCAAAGAAGCAAACCATATACCTTCCTGCAAAATGAAAAGCAAAAAAAAAAAAATCCTCAACTGTCCTAAACAAAATGGCATGACAGAAATTTTCTTCCAACCTCAAATCTGTCAAGCAGTTTGTCTCCAAAAAATACAAGCAAGGCTCATTAAGGGGTTATTTTTGCAAGGCCAGAGGAAGCCAGCCCACATTAGGTAATTTCCCACCTCCAACCACAGAAAAATCTTCAAAGTCTAAGAAAAAAAACAAGCAGAAATACTTCAGATAAAAGAATTTGTTTTCATGGCCTCCTTGTTTGCTTGCAAAAATACAGTTACTTGTGTTCGTAACTGTACTATGTTTATAGGATGATACCAGCTAATCTAACTTCTCTCTCCCTTGGAGCATGAACAAACATTCAACTGTTTAAGTGAACCAAAAGCCTCCATACCTTACAGATTTCTCAGTACTCACAAGAGAAGTCAGCTTTGTTCTGGCTACCAAGCAGAAGCCCTGAATGCTCCTACCTACTCAAGGCAACTATGAGGTGTACACGACCAGGCTTGAGACCTGCCTCTCAGGCACAACACAAAGCTAGATCAGTTTAGTTACCTTGAAAATTGGCTCATAAACTCTTTATAGCAAAGTCCTCAGCTACATAAAGGCATGAGAAGAATTACAGAAGACAGATAACTTAGAGAGCTATAAACTTTTATAAGATCAGATGACAAAGAAGAAAGTAATCAAATGCATAACCAGCAGGAATGACAAAGCAGCACCCCTAACTAAATATGGAAGGGAAGAAGGTATACAAACAAGAAATTCTTAAATCAGTCAAGAGGGAATTCAGACAGCAAGGGGCACACAACCTCTGCAGTCAGCCCAGTCAGAAAAAGTTACCTATTTCTGGCCATGAAGCAACGGGGCAGCACAGAGATTCCCGAGAGATGCCAGAATAGCTCCAGGTCAGTGACTAGCAGCAGTCACCTGGGTAGAGAGAGAAGGAGCTCCAAATTCCTGATTTGTGCCGTTCACAGAAGCAGCCAGTCATCAACATCCTGTGCAAGCTGCATAGCCGTCCAATTCCTAATACCTGCCCCGCTTTCTATGAATGTGCCAAAAGGATTGCATCCTGCCAGCAAGACAGCAAGAGTAAATATCCTGTTCTGAATCCCAGTTCAGCCTGAGCTTGTGTCTGACCTACTCAACAGCAACTGAGCTATTTAGACTTCTCTGGCATGTTAATAGATGATGCACACAATCTTTGGGAACTGCAACCTATGATTAAAAAACCTATGATTCCAAGAGTTATTAGAAAGCAGCAGGTCAGTTGGACCTGTTGAAATTTTACACTCCTTCAAATAAAAACAAGGCTACAATACCATTAATATTGTTGTGGATCCAGAGCCATCCAAAGAACATCAGCAACACACACACAGACTTCCTAAGTTTTCTGGTACTTCTCAATTTGGTTTTTATATAGGTAACCTTTAAGACATCTTTAATAAGTTCACTGTTATTTACAGTCCAGCAAATTCAGACATACACAAATATTTTCAGTCTTCAAGTTACAAATTTGATCTGAAGTCCAGTCACTTCATTTGCTCACAAGCTATATATTTCAAACAACCCATGAATTGTAATTATCTGCCTGTATCTCTCCAAGCTACCCATTTAAAAGAAGGGTAAATAAAAATCAACCATAAAGCACTAAGTATTTACCAAGGCTTCCAAGACACAATTGTACCAGCGGCACAAGGAGTTCTCACTGGCTTGTAGTGGTCGCTGGCTTTAACATACAGACACTGGTTACAGAAACCACCTTCTGGTGTCATCCCGTGCCCTTACAAAAAGGTAAATCTCGCCACAACTGCTCAGGCAACAATAGAAGATATTTTATCTAGTACAGCTCAAATACACAGGAAGCTATACAAGTCCCAAAACCATGGCCAGCTCCCAAACAAAATGAAGAGATCTTTGTCAGTTCTAGCAATAGATCTGGGATGGGCCACCCATAACTGAGCGAAACCATAAGCAGCACTGTGCTAGCGCTAACAAAAATATGCCCACACCATATACCAGAAAACTGGTAAGTGCAATACAATAAGAAAACTCAGGTAAAGTTTGCAATGAATTTATCTGACAAACACATTTAAGCAATGCACCCACATTTTTTCTTCCCCGATATAGAAAGAATGTGGTACAGACTATGGTACACTAAAAACTTCACTACTTTGAACTTCTACTTACCCAAGAAAGCCTAGAAAAGCTGTCACAGTTTAACTTCACAGGTTCCTTAAATTTATTGTTTCACAGAAAAATGTAAATTTACCATATAATTAAAGTTAATAAAATATACTTGGTTAGCAATGTTTATACTCATTACATTAATACTACCACAGAATTCCTGTGAAATGAATGTAATAAAATGAGCATTCAAAAAAGCTTAATTGAGAAACAGGATGTTGGCTGTAAGCACGAGACTATGTCAGAAAACAGGGTGGATTAGAATACTGTGATTATTATACAAGATGATGCAGTTTATGCAGGGGAAAAGGCAGCTAAGCTGACTGCTTTATCTTGCAGTTCAAGTCCTATTTAATAAAAACAACCACCAAAAAAAATCAAAAAAACACAACAACAAAAAAGCCACCTGCACAAGGCTCCCTCACCCCTCAAGGCAAGAAGTTTCAAAGAACCCTCTCTATTCCTCTCCTTCGCAAGGGGAGCAAGACAACTGTGGCAAGAACTGGATGAAGCCTTGGGTGAGATGGTTTAGTGGGAGGTGTCCCTGCCCATGGCAGGGGGGTTGGAACTAGATGATCTTAAGGTCCTTTCCAACCCTAACTATTCTATGATTAGAATCTAACTACAGGACTTCATCCGTATTACTGCCTGGCACACAGAAAGCCTTCAGAGGGCAAGAAGGAAGAATCCAGTAGAAAGCAATTAATCTACCAAAAACTGTAAGAGAAGAAATCTAAATTCTTTGTCAAAGAAATGTAAGCAAGCTAACAAAAACCAGGGAAGGAAATGGATCAGTGACAAGGCTACCCTCACACTCTTGGCCAATATTCTGCTGCTTATCTAGCTGATCTATGAGCATGCCCTAAATCAAGGGGAACTTATTCACAACCTCTCCTTAAAGCAAAGGGGCATTTTTCCAAATCACAACAACTCAGGTGTCCAAATTTGGAACTGTGGCATATAAATATCTGAACACTAGCACTCTCCTAAAACAAACCATAAAAGGCTATTTTATACAAAGTAAAAATGTTCCTAACTCATTTTAAAAAATGCATGAACTGTGTTTGATTAAGTGATTAACAACAGCAAAAGCCTCAACTGGCAAAGATCAGGTTCAGAAAGTTTCAGCCAAATAATAACATGCAACCAGATGATCCTTCAGGGAAAATAGCTTAAAATTTCTACGCACATCCCCTAACTACTTTTTGAAGACACAATTTTACTTAAGCCAATCAGCACGAAGAAAAGTTACACTAAGCAAACACCAATGGCTTTTTCAGAACCATAACAGTCTGTCATAGATTTAGATGTTAAGAACGGAAAAGAATTTCTTGTAATCAACAGAATTAACGACAATTCAACAAAAAGTGGCTGCAATGCAGATATGAGTGGCTTTAGACTTAGTATATAAGTTTTGCAATCCTTACTAGATGGTGAGTCCTTACTAATACCTACAGGTTTTCAGCACTTATTTGGAACAAATAGAAAATAAATGATACCTACAACTAGTAACTGTAAGAGAAATAATTCATGCATATGAATTTCATTCTTAACAGTTAAATGAACAGAAGCAGGATAATGTTTTAAGTCTGAACTTAAAAATCTAACACCTGTTCAAATGAAGTATTTCAACAAAAGCAAAAAAAATAACTTAAGCCTGGTGATATAATAAACTATGGTTTTAATATAAATCTATCTTGAAATAAACAATTTTCATACAAAAGATAAAAGAAATTTTAACAAAGCTAAGTAATTTCTCACTAATCCTTCCATTCCTTAAACAAATCAATACAAAGGAAAAGCTGTTAGCAGAAAATGTTTTCAGGACACAGCTGACAAGGTTCTTCATAAGTACTATTAGAGAAATGAGCACTTCCTACTTAGGGAGCAAGAAATTAAAACATTAAACTCCATACAACTAAGTTGAAAGTTAAGGCAATAAATTCAAAATATCACTATTTATATGGTAACAAACAGATGGTCTGCTCAAGTCTCCAATTCCAGTGTACTGACCTGACCAAGATACACTGTCCTCTACAGCCAGCAGCACAAGAGCAGAACATGCTAACACGGGTGGCTGCACTCTACCACCAACCCAATGTGACACTGCAGTCAATTCCAGACTAGAACTTCAGTGCCTCTGGACTCACAGTAAAACACAATAATAACCTTCATGTCACATAACCTCAGTTCACAGACCTAGCTGCCCAAAGCGCAGACATACAGAGGCAGGAGACCAGAAGTTTTATAGTTCAGAAGAAAACCATGGGTATTTCCTTCCTCAGTACAGTCTAAATACTATTAGAAATCTGTATATCATTGTCACTGAGGTGGGGATTTACCGTAAGTTGTTTCCTGTCTCCATGTACATTCCAAAACTTCTAGTAGGTGAAAGAAGGAATACGGCAGGTAGAGAAATTTATATGTCTATTAAAAAAATAAACAGCAAAACACATTATCTCTCCAACTAAAAATTCTGTGTTACACAGAAATTAAGCCTTGCATCCTTCCTCACAAAGTCCAACCAAGATAAATTAGTAAACTGCATCAATCCAGGAAAGACAAGAGAAAATACCAGAGAGAAAAACTGTTTTGGTAAGAATGTGTAGTCAGAAAGCACAAGTGCTAAAAAAGACAAATCTTACGGAGAGTGAGGGGGAACTTTGCAGTTTGCAGACAGAGAAATTAACACTGCAGTTTAAATAATACTGCAAGTAAGAAGAGTAATTTAAATTTATCCTCAAATATCTGGGATTATTTAAGAAAATTAAATCCTACATTCACTTCAGTTTCAAACAGTCTCTTGTTCTCCACTGAAAAGGCAGCACAAGAGCCAAAAGGGGAAAACAGTTACAGTATTGTACTCTAGCTCTCATTTTGGCTGTTTAAAATAAAAACCCACAGAAAGTAACCACGGACAAGATCTGTCAATACGTTTACTCACAAATGTCCAAACAAAACTTCCCTGACAACATAATCCAGTGAACCAGACGGTACTTTAACTATCAGGCTCTTCAGCATCAGCTGAACATAAAATCCCTCTTAACAAGTACAAGGATCTCCAGAAAGTAAACAAAAATTAAGGTGAGCAAGCAACAATAACTGCAACCTCAGAGGACAAGGAACACACAGCAGAGCTTCATTCTAGCTGTTTCCTCTGTGTCAACACCTTGTTCTTATCACTTCTGGACACTATACCCTAAAAACTCAGCACTTGGTCACTGACTGAGTATTCAATGTCACAAGCTTCACCATTTGCACATTACCATTGTTATAAATTTAGCTTCTATGATGTTACTGTGTCCAAATGAGAACCAAAAGAGAAGTTTATTATTATCAGAACTCAAAACAGATTTGCTCAGTATTTTGGATAATCTTTCTTAATGCCTTCATTAGAATGGCTCAAGCCTGCAGCACTGGTTTTCAGCTGCCCACAAAAAGCTCGAACAGTAAAAACATAGCATAGCTTAAAGCACTCCTTCCATCATGAACACCGGTCATAAATGCCTTCGCTTCTCAACTCTGTCCTCTCGGAACTCCTGCGAATATTGCCACAGGCAGGTAAGGAACACTGTTGTCAATGTTCAACTCAACTTGGAACTTGACAACAGTGAGTTCAAAACACCTAACGACTACTGCCTTCACCCACAACAAACCTCACTACTGACCCTGCTCTGAGCTATAAACACAAAATAGTATTTAATTAAACTGCTTCTATCGGAAGAAAAAAGAGAAGCCCATTTAGTTTACAGATTTGTCAAAACAATACACGCGGGAAAAAGAAAAAAAAAAAAAAAAGGACTCGAGGTAAAGGCCTATTCACCACGATCAAGAGCAAACGCTGAACTAAGGCGCTCCCTCACTTTTCTGTAACTGAAACCACTGAAACGAAAAGAAATCGAAATGCGGATTTTATTTCCCCCGCCACGGACCTTCTCTGCTTACAGCAACCCGGAGACAAATCCGACCTGGGAGAGCACGGCCCGGGGAGGCAGAACTGTATCTCCCACTCCTTGTTACGGCCTGAACCGCAGGCAGCAGCGGCGCATGGGGGCGACTCGCTCGCTCGCTCGCTCGCTCCCTCCCGCCCTCCCCGCCCCCAAGCGCCAGCGCTTCTCACCGCCCCCCCACACTCAAGCCTCTCTCAAACCGCCTTGCGCCCCGCGCCACGACGCTCTCGCACTGCTGGGGACAAACCTCGGAGACAAAGACGCCTGCTCCCGCGGGGAACCCTCCGCCACCGGTGCTCCAGCGTACAGCATGGCGGCGGCGCCGGCCCAGGACCCCGCCAAGCTGCGCCGGAGGCCCCGTTACCACCAACACTGTTGCTAAGACCCGAGGCCTGGCACAGAACGCAGCATTACCCCCCCCCCACACACACACACACACACGCTGCCCTTCCCCTCACACGGCCGGGCGAGCCGAGCAGCGCTCGGGAAAGCCTCGACTCCCTTCACTCACCCGCGCAGTACCTGCGAAGCGCTGCCACCACCCTCCCGCCAGCAGCGCCGGACAACGGCAACTGCGGCAACTCTTCGCCGCCGCAAACAGGAAGCTCCGTCAGCGCGCAACGTCACTTCCGAGAGGCTGTTTCCGGAAGTTTCTCGAACGGCGTGCTGCTCCCCCACCGCCTTCCCCCTCCCGCCGCGTGCGGGGAGAGACCGCCCCCTGCCGGCGGTCGGCGGCTCGGCAGAGGGCGGGGCTTCGCCCCTAGCGAGCGGGGACGGGGGGTGCAGGTGGTGAGGGGAATGGACGGTCACTGTGGTAAAGGCGTTCTGGAGGACTGCCACAGGGAACGCTGCTTGCAGAGCTGCGGGCCGCAGCGCAACGGGGACGTGCGGCTGCTTCCGCGAGTACAGAGGAGGCCACGAAAATGCTCCGAGGGCTGGAGTACCCCTCCTATGAAGACAGGGTGAGATAGCTAGGCTTGTTCAGCCTGGAGAAGAGGAGGCTCCGGGGATCTTTAAGGTCACTTCCAGCCAAATCAGTTTATGCATAGGTGAGTTTGGCTCCTTAAAAGCCAAAATGTCTTCCCCCATGTGTGACTTTATTTTACTCTCAAAACCAGTAACCCCCATGCCTGGTTATCCTGGGCTAGATTCAGCATTTTCCAGCTGGCACATGAACAGATGCTGCTTGAATACATTTGAGCATCCTTTGGGTTATACTTTAGTATGTGGTTTTCTTGGTTGTCATGACTGAGAGCAAAGTATAAGCAGCCAAGTTACTCTATTTTAGAAATTTGGACTTTATCCATGATTGAAATTTGCTGTAAAAATATGTTTCTCATTCTTTATTTTAAAAGTTGTACAAGGCATTGATTTACTGATCACCAAGGTGGAACTTGAGAGTTTCCACATCTAAAATGTGTGCTCCACAAATTGAAAGGCTACTCACCATTTTGGAGGTGCTTATGTGTCAGTGGGATCAGCTCAAATGGAAAAAAGCAAGCTCTGGAATAACAGGAAAACCTAATACAACTGAGCAAGACAAGGTAGGACAACCCTAAGTATAGGCTTGGTGTTTTGATTTGATGCTAAGCAGCAGTCATGGAAACAAGTCTTTAAAATTAGATCAAAGAGACACTGAGCACTATTATTAGTTTCTCATCAGCAGGTAGCTGTGAAGGCCAAGTTGTTGATCCACTTGGGAAAGAATAAATAAAGATGACTGGTGGGTTGGCCTGGCTCTTTCTAAAAGGTGTGGTTGCAAACCTCAGGAGACCCCTAGCCTGGCAGGTGCAAAGGCAAGCTGCAGGTTAGCACTGTGTCGTTTGGGAGGAGATCTTATAAACATTTGATTTAATGCTTTAGACATTTATTGATTTGGAAATAAAAGAGTTTTCCTCTTTCATGAGTTAAGACAGGTGAGAACAAAGGATAAAAAGTCTTCACTCTTTGAAAAACCTCACCTGCAGTACATAAGCTTGGAGGGGTACATGAGGCAGTTACTTTAATTCCTTACAGAGTAGATTTTTGAGGAGACAGTGTTCTCACAGGAGAATGAATAATTGGTACATGAACTCTGAATCATCCTGAAAGATACAGCAAGGCCGTGAGAGGCCCGAGGAAGCTTAAGGAAGCAAGATAAGAAGCAGCTGGAATTCACCGAGTTAATGAGAACTGTGGACTGTTGGCAAGCTTTCGAGGTCAAGTTCTCACACCTGTGCTTAACCAATTATATGTTAGTCACTAAGGGTCTTCAAGACATATATCCAATCACCATATGCCAAATCACTGTTAAATGCATGTAAGAAATAGCATATAAGGGGTTAAGGCTTTGTAATAAACGGCAGTCGCTTGATCACATTGATCGTCTCTGCGTTGTCCATGACTCCCACATCAACAGATTTTATATTAAATTTATGGTGTGGTGGATGCTAACCATAAAATTTTCTATTTATCCACAGAAGCAGAATGGTGGCAAAGGAGTGTAATTCCATGTGGAATTACAGGGTTGAAATCACAACATTGTCTGCATGAGCACGACCAGGATCACAACTGCTGCTTTAACACAGTTGTACAGGTGACAGCATTACATTAATTTTCCCATAGATTTTCTAACACTGTTCTGACTCTAAACTGCACCCTTCATATATAGGAATAAGGTTTGGAAAGGCTGAGAGATCAGTTTTGTGCTTGGAGAAAATAAGGTATGAGAAGCTCAACATGACCCAGCAGTGTCTACTTGCAGTCCAGAAAGCCAACAGTATGCTGGACTGCAACAAGAGGAGCATGGGCAGCAGGTCCAGAGAGGCAGTTCTCCCCCCCTACTCTGCTCTTTTGAGACCCCACTTGTAGTAGACTAAAATTTCAACCGGTCTTGTTTTCCTGGCTTCTGTTTGTTTTGTGATGGGAAGAATGCTGCTTGCTGGTAAGCAGTGAAGGAAATGCTACTTTCATACTGCTCTACCCAGTGCACTTGCTGCTTTTGCCCAGCAAGGCTACGCACCCACCTCTGACCCCTTCAGCTCTTCATCAGGTCAGCTCAGCCTCTAAGACCTTCCAGGCTAATGTCATCTAATCTCTGTATGTCCAGGCAAAGTCTCTGCTTCTCCCATATCACCCAAAGAGATACTGTGTCTGCAATTCCTTTGCTTTTAAATTGTAACACTCCAATAAAAAATGTTCATAACCATAGCCAGATACTGCCAAGCTATCCTTTTACCCCTTTTTCTCTCCTTCAAGTTACATAGTTCAAGTACCAGAGGACAGGACAAACTAGTTCCCCAAGAATTAATTAGAATTCTCCTGACCCGTAATTTGGTTTGTTATTTGTGTTCAGTCACGCTCATTTCAATGAATATCAATTAGAATATTTTTTAAACTTCAGCATTAATCATATTTAGATGTCTTACAAAGGTTTGGAAGTCCTTAAATGAGAACTGCTTATGTCAGTGCTTTCCAGGCAACAGGACTTTGCAGTCTCTGCGTAAAAAATCAACACAGATAAACAAAGAACTGCATAAGGTGAAGAGCCAAAACCACCTTCCTTCTCACCAGAGGTAATGCTGTGGGAAAGATTTTAGGCAAGACTCATAGGAAGAGGTAACATAGGAAGATCAAATGTTTAATTAGATCTACTTATAGGACTAATAAAAGAGAAAAGCTTTAAGATTCAGAAAGCCTTCAAAGGTATTTGCAAAGTATGAAGTAAAAGCATTCTGCATTTTTATGGCTAGCTGCTTGCAGCTGAAGTCTGGGATACTGTGTAAGGGAGCATTAAGTGTGACATTGCTGGCAGGGGATCAACATTCCAATAACAACATCTGGTGAAGTCTGGTGGGTCTGTTGAAGCTGGTATCAAAGATCCAGGCAGACCTGGGCTGGCATCCAAGTGCCCAGTCACAAGTCAGAATAAACCCTGTTATCAGAGCATCTTCATTGCTCGAGAATTTTCAGTCCTCACCCAGAAACATGACAGAAAGGTCTGGTTCACTTCAGCTGTCTAAAAGTTAAGCATCTAGTGCAAGGCCTCCAACTATGAACTGAGAGAGAAGGAGGGGGTACCTCCAGGGCACAGTTTCTGCTTTGGAGATGCATTTTAGTAAAGAAAGACGCCCCCCCTCTGGAGCTCTGTCTCTGGGTTGCCTCTCTTTCATCGGAAGTGACTCGACAGCCGCCTTACAGATGGCTGAAGTTAAGTGAGATGAATTCAGGCCTAACTGGTAGCTATAACATAATGATGGAAATCATGTGGCAGCATTCCAGGAGGTATTAGCAATTCACATAGTTCCCAGATCCTTTTATTTTTCTTAGTAATTTTTAACGACTTTCAGAGGTCAATTATGAAAAGCCCATCAGAACACAAGAAATACTTAAATATGCTGCATTAGAGGTATTAATATTGGTCCCTCTGATGTGGTAATGGCTGCAGCCTTCCCGGCCTGCTGCTCTGGCCCACTGCTTAATGCATCCAGTTTTTCTATTTACAGATTTACAGATTCTACTTTTGGTATTAGCAAAGAATATGAGCATATGTATCAAAGACTGTCCTCACATCCTTTAATTATAGTACTACTGGCAAAGTAATTCTGGAAAGTGCCACTTAATTAAATATAAGCATTAACTTTTTGCTGATAGCTTATCAGAAACAATTAGACTTGAAATATGAGCAATACACCTAATGTTTAAAACTTTAAGTAGATGCATTAGGAGCACAAAATAACCAATTTTCATTAGCATTCTCAGTAGGTTTTCTTCTGAGTATAACCTCAATTTTCACTGGTAAGGTGCTCCGTCGGTAACCAGAAGGCTGCAGGTTATCTGGACTCCCCATTGTAACCAAACACTTGAGCCAAGGGGATGTTTTTGAAAGCGGTTAAAACATTTCTGCATAGCTGGTGTTTTTGCCAGTTCCCCCTGAAGCATCAGATTTATCCTACTGATTATTTGGGGTGTGCAGGCAACAACCTAAGAACTGTTGTGGGCAGTCAGAAGATGTCACAGCTTATGGCAAATGCTTATTCCTTGCAACGACAGCTTGATCAGCATTTCTGTCCATTCAGTTGATCAGGGATATGCTTTCTTACCCATATGCCAGTGCCAAATACTAGTTAGTTCTATGTTCTTTTTCATGAATAGCTAAATAGAGCTAATAGGTAATTGGACCTACAATATCTCTTCAGAACTCCGAGCTCTGCTGCTGTTTGCCTTAAAGTGCAGAGAGGAAAAAGAAAAGCAGTAAGCAGAGCTGTAATCATAAAATCACAGAATGGTTTGTGTTGGAAGGGACCTTAAGTATCACCTACTTCCAACCCCCCTGCCATGGGCAGGGACACCTTCCACTAGACCAGATTGCCCAAAGCCCCATCCAACCTGGCCTTGAACACTGCCAGGGACAAGGCAGCCTCAACTTCTCTGGGTAACCTGTTCCAGTGTCTCACCATCCTGATGAATGATGATAATGAGAAGAATTACTCTAATTAAAGACAGAAGGGCTAGAAAGAACCACTTTCTTTGGAATGTATGTTTGACAACATACAGCAAAACCACACAGCAACTGATAAGAGATGCTTTTCATAGGTCTAACATTTGGGTAAGCAGAAGTAGCAAGATGATCTGAAATAACACCATCTGGTGAAAGCCTGTTTCCTTCTTCAGCAATCAAGAGCTAT